ATTTTTGTACAATATGCACTGCCTAACAAATACTGCATAACCGTATGGTTTATTAGAATTGTTTACCATAAAACAAAGTAAAAACATCGTATTATACAGCTAAATTTAGTTCAGCTTGCTTTGGATTGGAAAGAACATAAACTTTTGTAATCATAATATGGCTTTATTTTATAAAAATTTCACAGTACATTTATAATTAAGGTTTATGAGCACACGTGGAAAAATACCATTTATATTGTGTTTACTAATAGTCATGAAGAAACAATATTTCATAATTATCTCAAATATCTAAAAAGTATCTAGAAAAAAGTTTCCATGTAAATAAGGATGTATTTATAAATAAGAAAATTTTATAAATTGTTCTGTGTATATGTACTCTAAGCATCCTCTATATAGTAAAAGTTCAATTGTATAATAGTGATAGGTTTCTCTCTTTTTTCATTTTGTTGTTGTTATTGTTGTTGTTTTGTGAAAAATCCTTTCAGGCACGCCTATGGTCCTGAACTAAATAGACATATGAATACACCGGTAAATTATACAGTGATATAATTTTTTTGTCAAAGGTAGTATTTTTAAAATTGATAAGTGGTATTAAATTATAATGAGGGAAATACTTTAAAATAATATTCCCTATACTGTCATCTTTTTGGAGCAGTTAATTTGAACTTTTTGGAGCCCTTGATGTCTCTTATCTTTTTGATTCTAGCAATTCTGACACATGTAAGGTCATCATCTCAGAGTGGTTGTGTTGCATTTCTCTGATGACTAGTGATGTTGACCATCTTTTCTTGTGTCTGTTGGCCTTGGACTTTTCTTTGTTGGGAAACTTTTGACTAGTAATTCAGTATCTTACTTTTGACTAGTAATTGGTCTTCAGATTGTCTTTTTCTTTATGATTCAGTGTTGGTCTTTTGTGTTTCTGGGAATTTATCCATGTTTTTTATGTTGTCCACTTTGTTGGCATATAATTATTAGTAATATTCTTTTATGACCCTTCATACTTGTGTAGTATCAGTTGTAATGCCTTCACTTTCATTTATAATTTTATATGACACATCATATTTTTTCCTGGTTTGTCTAGCTAACATATTGTTGATTTTGTTTATCTTTTCAAAAAAAAAAAAACAGCTCATTTCACTGATCTTTTTCCTTTTGTTTCTGTTTCATTTATTTTTGCTCTAATCTTTGGCATTTAATTCATTCTGATAACTCTGAGCTCAATTTTCTCTTCTTTTTCCAGTGTTTGAGAAATTAAGTTAGGTTGTTTGAGATATTTCTTATTTCTTAAAATAGCATTTATCTCTATAAATGTCCTTCTTAGGACTGCTTTTGTTGCATTGCATAAGTTTTGGTATGTTGTGTTTCCATTCCCATCTGCCTCAAGATATTATTTGACCCCCCCCTTTTTTTCCTGATTCATTTGTTGTTCAGGGACAAGTTATTTAATCTCCACATATTTGTAAATTTTCAAGTTTTTTTCTTGTAATTAATTTCTACATTTACACCTTTGTGACTGAGATATGGACAATTTTGGTGGCTCTCTCTGGGCTGAGTCCTAGTGAGATAGCTGGTTAACAATCACTTCTTTGTTTGCCACAGTCCTGGGGGACTCATGAATAGAAACCCCTTCAGCTCAGAATCAGACATTTGTGGACCCGTCCCTTGGCAGCAGTTGCAAAAGCTGGGGTGCAGATGTTTATGCAAGCTCCTTCCAGGGAGTTTTTGGTGACTTGGAGCAGGCTGGAGGGAGCCCGTAGGAGCAGTGTCCACCAGCTCCCCTAGTCTCTGGGTAGAAGCACATCAAGTCTTGTAATTAATTTTGATGTGGGTATTTTCTAATTTGTTTTGTGTGTGGGAGTCACTCAGCTATTTTTGGGGTCTCTTTCAGAGAGAATCTCTCCATGTATGTATATTTGATGCAGCCATGGGAAGAGGGAATCTTAGGAGCCTCCTATGTTGCCACCTTGATCAACTCCTTTTCTATTATATTCTTAGGTATGGTTCTCACCAAGTGCTTGGTCTCTCTTTCTCTTTTCTTAATGTTTTATTTTTTTTTTAGAGAGAGGGAGAGAGGGATGGAGACACAGAATCCAAAGCAGGCTCCAGGCTCTGAGCTGTCAGTACAGAACCTGATGTGGCACAGAGCAGCACAGAGACTGAACCCACGAACGAATGTGAGATCAAGATCTGAGCCAAAAGTCAGATGCTCAACCTACTAAGCCACCCAGCTGCCCTAAGTGCTTGATCTCTTAAATATTCTAACTACTCATAGTCCAACAACATGCTCAAGAGATGATACAACTAGTCCATCAAAACCAAAAAGAAAGCAAAGGACAATCCAACTCTGGAAACTACAAACTTCAAATTCACAACTCTTATCCATCTTGAATTATATTTAAACAGACTTCGCCCATATTAAACATAAAGATGATGACCAAGGTGAACACAAATGGCTTATTTACTTACTGATGTGGCTTGGCCAGAATGTAGTCAGGCTTCCCCTCTCCCCATAGGCCTATGAACTTTAGCTTACTCTCCATTTGAAGGTAGTACTAAAGGGGTAGAACATAGTCTTTTTAAAGCTCATTCGAATGATCAGCTGGCAACAGAAGGAAACATTATCTGTTACACCACCTTTGCCCCTCTCAGTTCTTGCTGACCCTGCTTAACCCTGCTTACTACTCTGGATAAAAGTCTTTGCATTTGCTTTGTATGAGAAATACTTGCAGATATCAAGTTCTGGATGTTCTCCCTATTATAATAGTCTTTTCAGATAATCTTTCCTTGGCTGAGTTCAGATTTGTTTTTATTTAAAAACATATTTAGAATATTATGTATAATAAAATAAAACCTCTATTATGATTGTACTGTTTTATATCCACTGATTTTAGGCCCTACATATAGAAATTGTTATTTCATTTAAAATTCCTTGGGAATGGGGGCACTTGGGTGGCTCAGTAGGTTGAGTGTCCAATTTTGGCTCAGGTCATGATCTTACAGTTTGTGTGTTTAAGCCTGATGTCAGGTTCTGTGCTGACGGCTCCGAACCTGGAGCCTGTTTCAGATTCTGTGTCTCCCTCTCTGTCAAAAATAAACATTAAAAAAAAAAATTAAAGAAAACTAAAATAAAATTCCTTGGGAATGACAACCACCTTTTTAAGAATGGTGGCTACATTGTGAAGGAAGGGGTAGGTAATTAATTGTGTTTATATGAATTATGTAAAGAGTCAAAACAGTTTGGTAACATTTCAATTTTTAATCTATATTTGGGGTACATAAGTGTTAATATTCTTTATATTTTATCTCTAAAATGCTTCAATTTCTTGTTAAGGCTTTGATAATGTTAAAAAGAAACAACAGGCCCAAAATGTAATCACTTGTGCTTAACCCCACATCAGTAAACCAAGACTTAATACCTAATATAATTGCAGTTTCAAGCCTTTCCCAGGAGTGTAACCTTTACCTAATCAACCTGGAATTACTTGGCTAGCACTCATGAGGTAATCACTGATAAGACCCCTTCTGTCCCCTATCAGTAGGTTACCTAGCCTGAAACAATCCACCCTTTGCTAATAAATTTTCTTTTCCCACCCTTTCTGTGCCTTTAAAAAACCTTCTCTTTTCTGTAGCTTTTTGGAGTTTCTTTCTATTTGTTAGAAAGAATGCTGCATGATTCATAAATCATTAAATAAAGCCAATATCATCTTTAAATTTACTCGATTGAATTTGTTTTTTTAACAATTAAGGGAACAAATTAACAGTAATAGAAACAGATAAGACAGGACTGTTTTGGCATTTAATAGCTTTACATACTTATTTCATTAGCAAGGGTTAAAAATAAATTGAAAACTAAGATTCAAACTGTTTTCAATCAAAAACTTGGATACTATAAGTTTTCTCTTGGCATAGTGTTCATAAGTGCAAGATTTGGTGTCAAACAGTTCCAGAATTAAATTTGTTGTTGACACCTTCTATTTCTGTCACCTTGAGAACTGACACAACCTTCTGAGCCTCTGATCCCTCATCTATGAGATGATGTGGCATAAGTGCTACCTCTTTGGGCTATTCTGAGGTGTTGAACAACAAAATTCAACTGAGTAAATTTGAAGATCTAAGTGGCTTTCTTAAACAATTCATGAATCAGGCAGCATCCAACCTAACAAACAGAAAGGAACTCCATTGAGCTGAAGAAAAGGAAAGACTTTTAAAGGTAGAGAAGGAGTGGAGATAAAAAGGAAATTCTTAGCAAACAATACACTGTTTTAGGCAAGGATGGTCTCCTAAGGGAAACAGAAGGAATCAACCAGTAAGTTCCCTAGTGATGACTAGGAAATTCCAGGTTAACTAGTTAAAGGTTACATTCCTTGGGGGGTTGAAACTGCCTTGAGGCTAGGTATTAAGTCTTGGTTTTCTGACATGGGGCTTCTAACATAAGCGAGTTCATTTGGAGACTGTGGTTTTCTTTTTAACAATTCTCCTCTTTTGATATGACTCTGAGCTTAACTGAAAGAAGTGATCAAAAATAAGGCATTAGCGCCACTCTGAGCTACTGCTTTGTATTTCTTGAAGTTTTTGTTGTTTGTGTGCATGTGTGTGGTATTCACTGGTCATAACTTCAGGTTCACAATTTTTAAGTCAGCCATTTTCTTTGATCCTTAGGCAGATGGTTTCCTTGGTGGTTACCAGCTACAAACATGCATTTAAAACTTTTGAGAGAATACAGCATACTATGGGAACTCCTGTTTACAGTAATCATAATAATCTCCAATGTTTGGAATGCATTTCAGAGCTATGGTTCCCAAGACCACCAGTCAAATCAGATAAGTCAAAGTCCACTGAAGGAGTCCCTTTTTTAAGCTGAGTGGCTTGCTTGGGTCTCTATGTAATTGAGTTTCAACTTTCCTAGAAATCCTAAGCCAGGTGCGGCAGGTGGTATTGGCCACAGCACAGACTTCTCCTTGCTCAGCTACAGTATAATCAGAGGTTCTTCTATTATCAAGAACAAGTTTGGCCAGAGGGTTTGAGGATCTTTGTTGGGCAGATATTGTCTTAGCAATAAATTTTGTAGTATCTTCAGGATTTAAGGATAGGTTCTGGATGATATTTACATTTACTCCTGAACACAGAAGTATTGCCCTGTGAAAGAAAGCAAATCCTGAGTCATATGCCTCCTGATAAGTCATGAAGATTCTTTTGTTTGTTTTTTTCCCCCTAACTCAATGATGTAAATCCAGAGGAGATGGCCAATAAGATGTCTTCGCTCACTTGTGAGAGGTACTGCCCAGCTGTCTGCAGGCTACCTAAGCAAGCATAGGCCCAAGGAAGATAATACATGTCACAAAGACAAACCCTGTTGGGGCACAAACCACTTTCAACCAAGGTGGCATTACTAAGGTGGCAGTTTTGTTTTGTTTTGTTGTGTTTTTTATGACAAATCCAGTACTCTAACAGGCAAAGTTTACCCCATTAGCAATGGCCTGGGAAAATGGATGAAGGCCAGTGCCAGACCAAATGAAAGAAAGGGTTTCATGTCTAAAGTATAAAGTTGTAATCTAATGTCTTGGAAGGATGCATTTTTACCTCTGTGTCAACTACTTCTCCTCCTCCTCAATGTGACTGCAAGGTCTCCAGAGTCTGTATGTCAGGTGGAGCATTTTTCAATTGTGAGATGCATGTCCAAGGGTTAAGTCCCTGAGGTTTGGCTGCCACCTGTTAGTGAGGAACATTTGGTTTAGTCCCTTCCAAGGAGAATCAAGGGCAGTCTTTATTTACTGATTCCAAATCAGAAGGGTGAGAAACAACTGGAAATGTTAGTTTGGAGAGTCATAGATTTTTACAGAAACTAGAAGAACTTAGGATATAGTCCAATTTATATGTATACCAGAACCTCAAAGACATTTAATAGGATTAGAAACTAATATAAAGGTGTAAAAAGTATTTTTTTCTCTTTACATTTACCCTCATTTTAAGATTTTTTTTTTTTTTACATTAAGCTTTGCCTGATTATTTATGTAAATGCCCCAAGAACAGTGACTGACCACATAAGCTCTTGTTATGCAAGGTACCAGGTCTTTTTTTTTTTTTTTTTTATTGAAGGGTCTTTATTGGCTCTGTAAAGTCAACCTTAGTTCTTTAAAACTGCCATAGCTGAGCCTGCCAATCTCTCTCCTATGGGATATTCCAGTCAAAGCTTTGGTAATATAACCATTATTTCCAAATGTGTTCTACTATGGGGAGAACAGATTCTCATTGAACTTATGTAAATACCTATTTTGCCAAGATAAAAAATACTCAAGAGTTTTTGAGTTTTGGAGTGATGAGATAGGAAGAAAAAGTAAATGTTTCATTTTTGTTGACAAAGGTATATCTTAGTAAATTGTTGATAGCTTAAGAAAGAAAAGAAAAAAGGTTTCCTGAGGTCTAAAAATGTAAAACATTAGATAAGCAGTAATGTTTAAAATAAGTCACAAAAATTATCATCTTTCTCATTTCAATTTTGACCTATCTCGTTAATTCTTGTTCTGCTTGAATCATTTTTCTACTGGTTCTGGAAATTCTTACCCATGATATGATATGAAAGTTATCAAAAATCTGTATTCTAAAGTCCTTGTCAGATTCCTTCCCATAAATTTCTCTGAAGATGAAACACATTTGTAGAAAGCTTTTGTAGAAGCATCTGAGTAAAACAATAACTTTCTGTAAATGACAAAAGATTTAAAAATGAAATCATTAAAGGTCTGATTAGAACTCATAATTCAGTAGACAAAATAAATTGGTTATTTTTGTGGCATAAAACATCATAAGAAAGTAAATAGAATTATGACTGATAACATATCAGGATGCATCAGAATTTTAGATTTTTTTTTTACAATTTCTGTAACACATTTACCCATACAAGCTAAGAAGGTTTAGCATGACCTATCTGATGATTCTTCCCATGTAATTTAGCATATCAAATAAGCCTCATTAGTCTAACATTTAACTTTCTATGAGAAAACAAATCTTTGAAATATTCCAGGTACACTCTGTAATATTTCAAAGTTAATTTGTGGTCAAAAGTCTTCACTTTATAATTTGGTTTTGGATACTTGACTAAATAGGATCATAGGTCACTGTGAAACCATACTTAGTTATCTATACAACCACAGTGACAGACTTCACAGGTAAATGCAGGTTCCAAAGTTCTTGGCAAAAAGACCTGATAAAGACAAAACACAGAATCTTTGATTTTCTAGGCAGATTACATTAAAAGTAAAGAAAAATCTTTGTTTACTATTTCTTGGTAAGAGCAGACCAATAATCTAAGAAAATTGTCCTTTTAACCAAGAAAAACAAAATTTAAATTTTGCATCAGTGTACTTATAATATTAAAAGTCTTATTTTAATTTTAGCCAGCTTGATTACATATTAAAATTACATTTTAGAGATTCCTTTTCCACAAATCTATAACTTTTTTTTTTTTTTACATTTGGATTTTACCGTATATTTTCCTGTCTTTCAATAACTAGCTTTGCTCTAGGATAAAATTACTTTCTTTTCCCTCAACAAAAATGCATTTCCATTCCTATCTTCTATTGTTTTGTTTTTTTTGCATTCAGGCATGTTTCTCTTATTACTTCTAATAGTTTTATTCACATATATTAATTAGAATTCTTAAACCTTAGGAACCTTTAATTTCTAATATTAAGTAAACTAGGTAAAATTAAGAAAACTAAGTAGTAATCAATTATGAACCATTACACTAGCATTGTTTAGGTTGACAAATTTATGAATACATTTCATAATTTCCAGAAACATGCTTCTTCATGGTACAAAGTACAAACAATTTTTACTAACAAACCCAAATTTATCTCATTTATCTTTAATTTCTCTGTAATAAGGAAGCCAAGACTAGATAAACCTATATTCAGTAATTTAAGTTTCATTATTTTATCATTCACTGAATTTTCATCATTTAACTTGTTTTAAGTTAAAGATTTTGGAAACTATTTTTAAGTAGACACGCCATAAAACAAAATTATTATTAAAAAGTTAACCTAAAAACTCCTATTTCACATCTGTCTACATCACTTGCTCCAGACAACTGTGTTTAGAAAACCCACATGAAGCATTGGACCAAATCAGCCATCAAAGTCTCCAAGAGATAACATGAGCTCATTTGACTAATAAGCCCAAAATAAAGTGTTATGTCTGCATTATGTCCAATGTTGCTAACGCTAAGACATGTCTTTATTAATTAAACCACCAAATTAAACTAGTTTTTATTTAATGAAAATCATCCTAGATCATACAAACTTGAATAACTTTTAGGTTAGTTTCTATTATATTTCTGAGATAAATGCTTAATTTCCCAGTGCTCATTTTTAAGACAATTAGAGTTCTTACAGATTATTTTTGGCAATGACATCCACACATCTATAATAGACACATGTAAACATAGATCTTAGAATTATTGCTTTAACATTTTTAGCAATGAGACAGATATGATAATGTAAAACTCACTGGTGTAGAGAATAACCGTTGGATCCAAACTGTTTTTCTGGCAGATGTAGTAAGTCGGGATACCTGCTCAGATGGCTCAAATGTTTTCTACTAATGTTTTTAGAGAAGACATGATTTTTCCTTCATATAAATTTCAAAGGACCGCCCCCCATTTTATTTTACCTCTCGTAAAACTGCAAACCTCAGGGGGGTGATTCTTATTTCATCTCAAAGACACAGGGAAAGAATGCAAGTTCTTCCAAGAAGTATGGTTTCTTATGGCCAATAAAAGGAATAAATAGGGAAGGTTTTAGGATTGGTAAACAGGGGTAGGTGGACTTTGGATTGCTTCTTGAGATGCATTTCCAGTTTTATCAATATAAAGACAGTTGCTTTTGATCCCTTAAAGAACTGAAGGGTAGCCTGGATGTTAAAGGAATGACAGCCATCTATCTGTGTAGGAATACATTTGTTTCTGTTTACTTTTGTTTTCTCTGGGCTTTTTTGGAAAATAAGATAGGAGTTTATCAGAAAACCCCTCAGAGTCTCATTAACTCTGGCAGAGATATATAGGGGATACTTCTTTGCAGACATGGAGGTGTTTTCAGACCCATTAATTTGGTGGACTTTTGTTTATCCAATAGTCAAGTAAAGGAGAGTAGAGGAAAGGAGCAATAACTGAGTCAGTCTTATAGTCTTTTGCATTAGGTACTTCTTGTGTCTTTTTCCTCAGCGTTCTGCAGTGAAACTTTCAATGTAGCCATTTTTGGAATTTTGAAGTCTGCTTGTACGTGCACTTTTAAATGACCTTATCAAATTGGGTTGTTCTTCCTAATGGCCATTGGAACTCTAGCCTTTAAATACTCTGAGGGTTGGCAGCAGTTTGGTTGGGACGCAGCTGTAAATGGAGTGTAACCCGCATTTTTGCAGGGCCTTATTTTGATGCCCCCAACGTTAGAGTTACCAAGTCAAATTCTTCAGGGCACAAAACAAGCTTAGTAGGATTTTGCCATTTGTGAAAATATTTATGGCTTCTGCAACCATAGTTCTTAGACATAAAATAAGCAAGTGTGCCAGAATGTGTCATGCCTAACTCTGGATTTTTTTAAAGATCCCATTTAAAACAAATTTTATTCACCTGAGGCTTCCCACTGGACTCAGTCTGGTCTAAATGGGGCCCAGTTCAGTTCTGAAATTGAACTCAGTCCAGCTCCAATCAGACCCAGTCCAAGCTCAGACTCAATCCAGTCTTTAAAATTGGACCCGGTCCAACTTTGGCAGGTAAACTCTAATAATTCCCAGTATGGCAAAGGCTAGGATTTTCCACTAAAAAACCTGGGAATTGTCTGCAAGCTTAAGTTGCCCTGCACTGTAAGGGAAATCCAATTAGATTGGGAGCTGGATGCAAAGAAAATGGAGCTCATAACTGAGATGGAACTTACCCACAGCCCTTGGAAACAGTGAGAAAGATTGTGAACTCAAAGGGTTAGTAGGATGTTTCTTACTGTCCCCAAAAGCCAACAGAAGTTTGCTTTGGATCCTGTTGCTGGCACCAAATCCATTAAACAAACAAATCCAGCTGAATAAATTTGAAGATCTAATTGGTTTTATTAAAATTTATTAAAATGATTCATTAGTCAGCATCCCATCTAGCACATAGAAAAGAGCTCCATCAAGCTGCAGAAAAGGAAGGTGTTTTATTTTTGTCTTTTTTTTTTTAAAGGTAGAGAAGGAGTGGAGAAAAGGAAATTATTAGCAAAGAATACATTGTTTTAGGCAAGGTCACTCTCCTAAGGGGAAAAGGAAGGGTCTATCAGTAAATTTCCTAGTGATGACCAGGAAATTCCAGGTTAACTGGTTAAAGGTTAGTTTCCTGGGAGGGGGTTGAAACTACAGTTAGGTTAGGTATGAAGTCTTGGTTTGCTGACATGGTTCTCTTAATTAATATAACTGACTTCATTTGTGGACTCTGGTTTCTTTTCTCACAGAGGTAAAATGGAAATTACTAGGTGCTTAAAATGTTAAAAGGTAATTCTTTTAATAAAAGATTAATCTGTCTTCCATGTGATTTTTACAGCCAGTCTCAGGACCACAACAGAGCTTGATAGGTCAGATTTGAAGAAATTCCGTCTCCTAAATTTTAAAGGAAAAAAAAAAAAAGAATTTAAGAGATCTTTTTAGAAGCTAGGAGATTTGCATTATAGTGCCAGCCCCGACACTAGTAAGGTATGATATTTTGGCTTCTGTAACATTTTTGTTGAGAATATAATAGTAATATGCCACAGTAAGGTAATAAATGCTGAGTACAGGGTGTTAAATATGATAAATCCATTTGTTTTAGGGGCTTACATTACATCATGTACAAAATGAGTGCCCTTAAAATTAAATATCTTTGTTTTACTCAAGCTCCAATAATTCTCAAATAACATATGCTTTGCCAGAGCTGATCTTGATTTTTTGATTAATGCTGAATTACTATAAAGAAAAAAAGAGTCAACTATATGCATCTAAGATGTAAGTTTTCACCTGGGCCTAAGGCAAGGTTCTGTGATTACCACATGTTGATTATCTAAAAGGAGGGAAGGGGGTCACCTGGGCAGCCCAGTCAGTTGAGCATCCCACTGTTGATTTTGGTTTAGGTCAGGATTTCAGGGTCTTGGGATCAGGTCCCATGAGCCTGCTTGGGAGTCTCTCCCATTCTCCCTCTGTCCCTGTCCCCCACTCACATACTCTGTCTCTTCCTAAAAAAATAAAAATAAAACAAATATCAAAAGGCAGAGAAATCCCCACAACCTTGCTGTATGGGGCATACTGTGGAGTTTCTAGGTATTAACTATATCTTTAAAAATACATGTTCCCCCCTGCACTCTGAAAATGCATAGCATGATGGCTTTCCCTTTAAAGATTACATTTGGTGGGAGTCCTGGTTCAAGATGGCAACATAGAAAGGCCCTGAATTCACTTCCTCTATAGACATACCCAATCTACATCTACTTATAGAGTAATTCCTTCTGAAAAAGAACTTAAAGCTGACTGGACAGCTGCTGCACCACAAAAGACAGACCACATAGAGAAAAGTAACAGAAAAAGAGACATAGTAACAAAGGGAACCAGAACCACAGTGCTGCAAACTGCAGTGGGGAGGGATAGTACTGAGATTGCGAGCCCATTCCAGCACAGTTAAGCT